CCCCCTTCAGCCCCGGTTGGGGGGGGGGGGATCTAGGTCCATTTGAGCCCTCCAACCCAAACAAGACATTTAATATCTGAGGAAAACATTAACCATTTTTTCACAAGGTTCCCTAGAGTTATTAAATCCTCTGCAATTTCAAGAACTTTCCTGTTGAAAAATGTGATGCTGACTTGGTTCATGAATGTTCATAATAATCATTTCATGTTTATCATTCCATAATTAATGTTTACTTCATGCATTGTTTAATTCACACATTGTTTTGTTCATGTATTGTCCATTTTAAGTTGTATTTGGTTTTTTCACAACATGAGAAACTTGTAACAACAGTTTTTTAGAGTTTTCTTTCCCGAATACAGAGGCCTTCTTTTTTACTTTATTGCAGTTAGTGGATCTAGATACAGTCGCAAGTTTTCTTGATCTTTTGTTTGTCCAACCTTTTCCATTAAAATTCAGCCTAGAAATCTTAAATAACATCCATTGTTTCACATAGGATAATTTAAAAACTTCAAACATAACATAAGAGGAAAGAAACCCTAACAATATACATACATACATACATACATACATACCATGGGCTTATCATAAAAGGGGAAAGACTGCATTTGCCGCATAGCATTAGAAGCAGACTGAACATCCTCGAAAATAACCCAAGCTTGCCCTTTGTGTTTCAATGTCTTGAATGCCAATATCTCCAGTATCTTCCCGAATTGCGAGAACACAGCGTGCAGCGATGTCTTCAACTCTGTGCGATGTCTTCAACTCTGTTTTTTTTTTTTTCCAAGTCAGACATTATCACATACAAACCATATATGTGAGAGAGAGGACAACAATTGAAAATTAAGAAGGAAAGAAGAGGAAAGAAGAGGGGAATCTGACATTACCATCGATTTTGATCTTCTCGTTGAGATTGTTGATGTAAATAGTCATGTTCTGCGAGACATCAGTGCCTGTACTATTATTGTTATCTCCCATTTCTTTTCTCTCTTGTAATGCCATGATTTCCAGCTCTAAATTTTGCTGGCAATGAAAAAACGAAGAAGAAGAGACTGAGAGTTAGCTGTTTTTGCTGATAAATACACGAGCAAGACTGGGGGTTTAATTTGATTTCTTTAGGGTTCTACAATCTACATTTTGCCCAAAAAATCTAACGGCCACTGAAAAAGAGGGAGAGAAGCACATGTGCGTCAGGCCCAACTTGTCTGCCCAAACCACCTACTTGGATTATGAGTAAGTAACTTGGCCCATTATTAGATAAGGTCAATTTTGGGTTTGGCCCATTATCTAAGGCCTTCAATCAAGCTGGCTTCGAGAAAAGAGAAGGGCATGCAATTTGACCTCTAAAATCTTGAAGAAGAATGACTCAGTCCTCAACTCCGCATGTATATGATCCCAATCTTTGTAATCAACACTAAGGTCACATTGCATCTTGTGGTATGCAATAATCCACGTAGCCTAGCTAGATAAGCTATTAAGGTGGGTTGTTTTATCACCAAGTACACAAGGCAATATTAGAAATATAGTTGAAACCGTGTTTTGTTAAAATTTAATTTTTTAATTTAAAATTAATTATTTTTTAATTTTTAAATTATTTTGATGTAATAATATCAAAAATATTTTTAAAAAATAAAAAATATTATTTTAATATATTTCTGAATTAAAAATATTTTAAACTATAACCAACAATCATAAAAACCACCCAATTAGAGGATAAGGATGGAATAACTTTGGCTCTCGTCAATTCTCAAGTGGTGTGTGGACTTTTTCATGGTGTATGTATATAAACGTTGCTTGATTCCCAGTCCACTTCATTTGGTTCTGTTCTGTCTTTCTTCAGTTTTCAGCTTCCCTGAATACAGAAGGAGACAACGAGAAAACAAAGCAATTGACCACCAATTTGAGTAATATCTTATTGCCACTTGAAATTCATGCCAGCCTTATTTGTTGTCGCTTGTGCCTTCTGTTTTGCTAGGGCGTACTAAGAAAGGCTCTGTTCTTAATCATTTACATCATTAGCTCCAAGAAAATACAAGGTAACGAGTTGACTAAAAGTTTGAGTAATTTAGAGCCACTCAGGATCTCGACAGACGATTCTTTTATAGAAGTTTTAATGGGGCACGTCAAATGCCATTAATTTTACATCTATCATAATTTGACGTGGTTAACAAATCCATCTTCTAATCTAGGCAGTCACGGAAAGCGAAGAACCTGGCTAGATTTACTGGATCAGTGACGTTACGTTCCAACTTGGAAATGCAGACTTTATGCTAGATCATTACAGTTCACACAAGTTGCTGGAAAACCAGTTATCTAGCTCCATTGAGCAGCTGTTACTGTAGGCAATGACCGGCAGGAGACAGCTGCAGCCTCCATGCAATCGTAAGGTTAAAGAAAAGAGTGATTGTGCCACGGACTGAACGTGATTCATGACAAAGTTAGAGCGCCAGGAGTAAAAAAGAGATTTTCATGCGTGTTTTAGGACCGCAATAAATCTTTTTAAGAAAAGGAAAATAAATAAATTCTTGCAACTTAACTTTTGTCTTTTTATGCCGCGCCCCGGTTTCAAGAAAGATATGCTCTGTCGTGTGGTATTGCTTTGCCGTTGGCTTGCCAAATGGAATTTGCCCAGTGTTTCAGAGTCTGAGGCTCTCAATTCTCCAGCTACGCTGCCTGTGGAGGTCCGCAAAGAGATTTTTATTTGGATTAGCAATTTGTAATCGTTCTCAACGTCTAAACTAATTTCTTAATCACGGATTTTTGTTTCTCCAGTGTCATTAGCATTTGTTTAATTTAAAATTTTTCGTCCAACCATTTTTTTATTCTTTTATGTTCTCTGGAAAAGCTTGATTTTTATGGACTGCGAGCTTTCTAGGTTATAAGCGTGGAGCTAGGTAGTTGCTCTCACTCTATCCTATAATGACTCTGCGTAATTAAACCGTTATTTGCAATTACGCCGAAAGATAACATAAAAAGAATCACCGATTCATATGCCTTTACATCATTAGCAAGAACAGCGATATGCCCAATGCGAGGGCAGAGAAAACATCTACAAAAGCATATTTGGAATTCTCGCTAACATCAAAATCAGAATCCTTACCACAACTACACATTTTACTTCGAGGACAATTTAGTTATCTTTGAACCGGTTTGGTTATTTCAGTTTTAACTTTACATGAACAAAATTAAACCAAATGTTTTTTTAAATTTATTAATTAGTTTGATCTTTTTGCTAGTTTGATTTTTTTAGTTATTTTTTTTATTAATTGAATTTTTTTATTTTATCCCTATTAATTAATCAATATCTAGAAAGAGAGGGGGAAAAAAGAAATAGACCCAGCAAAAAGCACGAGAAGCTTGGACACTTGGGAGGCGGGGTTTTAATATCCCTGGACAAGACCTCAAGGCACAAATACTCTCCTGTAGTGAAATCGAGACACGACAACATGTTCACGTGAGTTCACGCCTTAGCCAGTAGAATCTATCTCAATAATTCAATTCAAAATTGAGCACCTAAAGCTAGAGCCCACCAATTTAAAGAGCTGGAATCTGCACATACTGAAAGCCATTTTAGTTAAATTATTATTGACTCTTGACTCAGTCGGAAGTCTCCTTGATCTTTCACGAGTTCATTGGGCTAGGAATATGTCTTCCAGAAAAAAAAAAAAAAAAAAAAAAAAGAAGAAGAAGAAGAAGCAAAACACACACACAAAAGGGACCCTCTTGTCTGGTTCAAGTGGACTGCTTATGTCATGTTGCACACCTAACCACCATCGGCTGTAAATCCTTTAACTTTTTTAAGACACCGCTCTCACGCCGCTCTTTCGGCCCGTTTGCTTTTTTACATTGAAAAGTATTCATGTAAAAACTTTTTTTTTTCTTCGAATGATTTTTTTTCTGTTTTTATAAAGCATTTTAATACACTATTATTAAAAATAAATTTAAAAAATTAAAAAAATATTATTTTAATTCATTATTAACCAAAGAATATTTTAAAACACCAAACCAGCTCGAATAGGTCAAAAGAGGTTCGCTTCTTCTTCACATGCTTGATTCTGGTGTGAGAAAAGTCTTCACTCCTCTGACTCTCTCAACCGTTGGATCATCGATGTTTCTCATCATTAATCTGAAGAATTCAGTAAGATTGTAAAAGACCAAAAACCAAGTCATGAACAAGGGACTAAGGATAGGCCAAGTGTTTTCTTTTTCATTAAAAAAATATGGATATTTCAAGTTAAAAAAAAAGGGACAGGCGAAAGCGGCAGAAAGAAGAAACAGTCATCACGTGGCAAGAAGAACATAGAAGTTCACTGCATGTATCTCTTAGCGTAATTTGAAAGGGTCCACCGTTTAACCGTAGTGGATGCTATTTCTTCTTCGAGCCTCACGCGTCTCAGTTTCCGTCTCTTTCTATATAAACCCCTTATGGCTACCTTCTCTCATCACATATTTTCGCAACCTTGAGCAGAGATTCTAGAAAAAAGAAAGAAAGAGTGACTCTTTGTTTCTCTCAGCTGCTGCACAAGGTTTCTTTAAGAAAAAGAAGAAGGAAACAAAAACTTCTACTGCTGTTAAGTTCATTCTCTTGAGTTTCTATAATTTCTTTGACAAGTTTCGATTCAAATCATAAGCTGTATTTAATTACAATGGCTCGTTCTTCCTCAAACGCAAAGGTCATCTCTGGCTTGATCAGCAGGGCGATCAACGGCAGAGGATTCTCAGCTGTTGCATCACAAGGAGCTGCTGTGCCCAAGGCAAGAAGCGGTGCTGATGCCATGGTGAAGAAAACAGGGGAGGAGGTTGGCAAGTCTACCGAGAAGACTTCCTGGGTTCCAGATCCTCGTACTGGATTCTACAGACCAGGGAATGTTGCTGAGGAAATCGATGAGGCTGGATTACGTGCTTCCCTCTTGAAGAAACATTGAGAAATCACTATCTAATCTTATTAATAAAATTTGATTACTATATCATGTTCTACGGTACAAAACGAAGGATCGATGGATGCATGTGTTTTGTGGGGGTGGTTCTGATGCATTGGCCGCGGGGGCTATCGGTGTGTGTGCAAGAAAAAAAAAAAAACAGATCTTGGCTCGATTCGATTATTGTTATGGCATCCGTCTCTGTCCTCTCTCTGTTCAAGGGACAGAATTCGCAGATATCTTACAGATGTAATATCTCTTCCTATAAATCTATCATGCAATTACAGCTTATTTATTAGACGAGATCTCAAATTATTAGTTTTTGTTTCCCTTTATGCGAAAACCATTAATTTCCATGATATTTTCGTGGGAGCAGGCATAGCTTTGCCCTTTCAATTGATGACGTTCAAGTCTGAAACCTGAAAACCAGTTTTTTCAATGAATTGGAATGCCCGCTTTTGATTGGCCAGCGACAAAAAATACTAGTCCACAAGAAATACGAGTGGCTACTTTCCTTGTTATTTGCTTGTTATCTTCACGGGGTGCTTATTTTTGTATCCGTAATTATTTTTTAAAATTTATTTTTTACATTAAACACATCAGAATAATAATAAAAATTAATTTCAAACAAAAAATCTCAAATTTGAAAACGTTGTGTTTGCTATAGTTTTAGAATTATAAAAGAAATTCTCCATGCCAAACTAATTAATTAAAAAGAAAACAATCTAAATCTAAACCTCCATTTTCATTGTACAAGGAGGTTTGATAATGCGGTGGTTGAACTTAATTTTTAAATTATTTTTTACTTGAAAAAAATTAAATTAATGTTTTTAAGAGTTTATTAATAGTTTTGATATACTAATATTAAAACTAAAAAAATTAAGAAAATCTTATTTTCATATATTTTTAATAAAAAACACTTAAAAATAAAAACAAGCCGTCAAGCCCTCTATTAAGTCACAAAGCATGGTTGAAAACCCTTATCCATGAGATAAATAATATATATGAACGAATAGGACGATCTCCTCCTAACTTGAAACAAATAAAGCTTAGCCAAAAGCAACACCTGTTTACGTGTGGTCAGTCTAATACCGTATATTTTGATTATAGCGTGCAGTCTAATATTACCATTACGCTAACTTTCGTGTTTGATCGATCTAGTAATGGAGGCAACACCATCAACAGCAGGTCCCTCACCAACCGAAAGCTGCATAATTCACTTCTTGCTTGTCTTCTGCCTTCCAAATAATTTATCAAGATTCCGCCGCTGAGGATGGCTTCCTCTATTTATTATATGCCAATTAATGGTTTAATAATCGAACTCGTATATAATAAGTGGCGACAGCAGAGAATTTCTTTTGTCATCCTTTACTGGATAATCGAACTCGTATATAATTCATTAAACAACATCAGTGGGATCGTAATAATTGAAATCGCATAATGATCTTCTAATATTATAATGGATGGTGAGAAGGGAAGTTAGGCAAAGTTCAGTTGCCAGTTTGTATATATATTTTATTTTATTTGTTTTCTAGCTGTATAAAGTTTGCGATGAATCTGATGTTGCGATGCAAAGTTGCAAACTGCAAAAAAGCCAAGATTCGGTGTATAGTCGAGTCTGGCTCGCAGAAAAATGATTGTGACAGTGACGAGGGAAATGCGCCGCTTTTCTGTTGATTTTGAGCAGGCAGTAATTTCAGCATTAATATAATATTATTCAAATTCGAAGAACAATGACAAATTCTCTTGTGGGTTCACCCAATATTTCAGGGTTTGCTTGCAAAAGGAAAAATCTTGAAGAATAGAAACTCAATTTCAACTAGAATTGATAAGATTCTGGAATGAATGAATGATTGGGTAACAACTTAACAATCCAATGAACCTTGGAATAAGATATTTTAGATTATGGGTGGAATTTGTTTTCGAAAAATTCTATCGTTGTAGTTTTAAATTAATTTTTTTAATATATTTTAAATTATTTTAACATATTAATATTAAAAGAATATTTTATTATATTTACAAATAAAAAAACCTTTCAAAACAGCATCAATCAACTTCAATGCATAAATTCCGATGGAGTTCACCCACGGATTAAATTTAGGAAATGCTTGTGATGCTAAATTTCTACGCCTCCGAAATAAGTCAATAACTTATAATGGTAGGAGCAGCGGAGACGGTATCTTTCGTGTCAGGTCATGATGGACGTCGGGCAACAAGTTTCTTACAAGCCGAGGTTTGTTTTGGTGATGATATACCGGGTTAATGAGACCAGGACGGGAGCCTTGTGCACGGAATCCCGTTGTAATGTTCCAGTAGCAAACATTAATCAACAAGAACTGAGGTAGGATTTAGGAACGATGATGTTGTTTCTCCTTTGGTGTTTGCTAATATGACCGTGCTGTATCTCCCATTAGCATTTTGGATAGAGTATTTTCTCCGTATGGAGAAGAAAGACGTGGGAAACATATATTTCACTTCGCATGATCAGTTCAAGGAGAAAAAACTCCATGAGCACGTGCTCATCTTCGTTCTGTCACAGGCAAGCACAGTTAAAGAAAGTTCTCCGATCCTGCCTTTTGGATTTAGTGAAAACCACATTATACCTTTCTCCAAATCAAGCTATGGGCGTTGGCAAACGGAAGGCAGCGAGACAGTCCCCTGATAAGACAGCATGAGATGATGGAGCCTAACTTCACGCTCAGTCAAATTCGTGCTTTCCATGGACCACAGAAACTTCTAATCCGGTAATCCCCAGAGGCCCAGTTTTACTCATCTACGTTAGCTACTGCAAACAGGTATGAATACCGTTTAGTTTGTGTTTTTAAAAATTTTAATTTTTTGTTTAAAATTAAAAATTTTAGTATTTTTGAATTGTTTATTGAAGTGTACATGCGCAACTCCAATCCTAAATATATGTTCTTGCACCACGCTATCTAAGAGGGGACATCTTCCAGAGAATACTACAAACCTAAATTTTCTTTACCTATCTTGCACTCTCTTTGTTATTTCTGCTCGATTCTCCAAATGCAAGCCCGTGTTAGGCATTACTGCTCTAGGAGAGGCGCAATTGCAAACAATGAGGCAGAGAGCCTCTTCAACAAGAGAACCTCATCAACTTCAAACCAGAAAGACTGGGAAACATACCTTCACTCAACAAATCTGACTCAACTGAAACCTCGATCTTGAGGTGTATGACTATTTTAAGACCTTAAGAGCATTGCAAGAGAAAACATAACAAGGGAGAATAATACTTTACATATCCTGCAAGGTCCTAACAGCATACACGAATTCCAGCTACCAAAGAATTTAAAATCCCCACCAGATATATTAACATTACCTGTATTACCTGTATCGCCTCTCAAATCTACTATCTGTGTGTGCTTGAGCTTGGTAGAATAAACTCAGAATACTAAAGCTTATCTGTGAAATTAGATTTTTCAGATACTCATCCTGTCTTTCATGAAGTTACTACTACAAAACAAATTGCAAATAATGAGGATAATTTATTGACCTTACAAACTATAGCAAGTTACAAGTACTTATCAAAAAGTCCAATGCCATAGTTTTTCTGCATCTCAAGTGACTAAAGTTGGGAATGACTCCGCCAAATGCCATCCCTACAATACAATTAGCAGCTTGTGATATTGCAGGTGTACTGGCATCAAAAGGGGTATTGTAAGTTCTTACAGTCATGGGCCAAATACTGTTGCCAATACTCATGTAAGAAAAGGCCAGGTTCCAAATGAGCACAGGCATTCTAAACCAAAAGAAACTCCAACGAGGATCCATAATTCCTTGAAGCGAAGAGATGCACCTTTAGCTTTCCAGGCAGAACCTTTTCTGGAATATTGGTTAGACGCTGAACACATACCCTCATCCTCATATAGTAGATAGATAGTTCTAAATAACTTCTTTCAAAAGTTACTTTTCCTTATTATAAAAGAAGAAACAAATAGAGTTCAAAGCAAGCATAATTAGGAAAGGGGTGATTTGTTTCAAAATGTCCACGCAGCGATGGTTCCGCCCAGAATCAAGACTGGTTTTCCGTATCAGTTTGAAATTTGAATGATTTGATAGCTTCTACTACCAAGTTCTTGAAATAAATTTAACAATTGTGCCAGCATCTCCAATTTATTGTCAGCATGAAGAATGTAAGGAAACATCCTAAAACCCAAAGCGAGCCTACGCCGCGCTAATTGCTTAATGGACAGTGTTATAAGAAAGCTGCATAAATACGGTTTACAATTTCCAATTCTTTTCCTTCAAGAAAACATAACGATTCAATACCAAGTCCAACTAAAAGAAAAGCATCCCATTATTCATCCCTTCAATATCCATTAACTAACAGGTAAATAAATCCCTAAAAAGAGGAAACAAAGGGGTTTGATCTAAGCTTGGTTGCTAACTCAACATTATTGCAATTCAACCCACACCCACACTGTGGACACTCATAGAAATTATCGATTGGAAAACTGGCGGAAGCGATTCCAACAGAAAAATAGAGCTCATCTCCATTTCTAATAACCTCCACAATATTTAACCAAAAAAACAGAACCTTCACACTTACTCCACTCAAACTCGTTAGCCTGTTGTCGCTTATGTAACCACTGATTGTGGATTTGTAGTTAAGCTGATAAGAACCTTCCACAGAGAAACTGCACGAACCGTTCAAAAAGGCGCTGAATTCGCCAGTAGTTTTGTCCAGTTTGTAGCCTGTGGCACCTTTTGGGAGAATACCGATCGGGAAGTTGTATCCAGCTATGATTTCATAAGCCGTTGGGAGATTGTCAGTGAAGGTGAGAGATGATGAAGTGACGAGCGGTGATAGGATGAGGAAGAGGGTGCAAATGGCCGTGAAAGACATTGGGGTCGCTCTGCCTGGTGTGAAAAGGAGTCGTTTTTTATTTTGTTTACCGGATTGAGGTAGATTTTGTTGATTTCTGCTTAGGAAGTCGCTGGAACTCGGGAGGACACGTAATGACTTTTGGAAAAGTAGTTGATGACTGCTGATTTTGTCACCGTCGGAGAACCTAGAAAATGCCTTTGGTTTTCTTTATGTTTCTTCCCCTCGATATCATCAATGTTTCATTACTGCTCTGCTGATGAACTCAACCTCATCAATCTTTTACCGCAGCAAAACAATGTCGTAAGGCACTGTTCTTTAAGATTCATTTACCTGATTTATAGTCAATTTTTCCCTTTTCAGAACCTTAATTTTCTCTTTCAACTCGATCAGTGAACTTTCTTTCTTCACAATTTCATCCTTAAAAGATGTGTTATCATGATTTCGACAGGTAATTTTATATTAAATA